TCTCTCTCTCTCTCTCTCTCTCTCTCTCTCGTCGACCCCCTCCCAACCCATTCCCCTTCTAAAGTGTGCTGAGTTGGGGAGTTTTTGTTATTGTTTTGTGTGTGTGTGTTTTGGAGCTGTTGTTGGTTTGTTTTATTTGTGTTTTTTTATTCTTTGTTTCCCCAGTAAAAGTAAAGTAGTTCCCGCATCCGATCCGGACATTGGAGATTGCCTTGTTAATGAGACATTGGGCCTTCGGCATATTGTGGTAGGGTGGCCAGTTCCTTTCCACGCCATCTTTACTTCCCCAACTCGAAGTCAGGTACCCATTACTGCTGGGTGGGCAGGATGTTCGAAAAAAAAAATCCGCTCCGAACCGATAGGCTCGAACCCGTACATTCCGCTTCGGACACGAGCGCACTAACCGCTCTGCCACCGCAGATGCATATGTGCCGAGTTTGGATCCGTAAAATGTTTGGCGGGTATAATATGTTCCTCCCCAGACCTAATGATAAAACTTTACAGCGGTCATAATTATGGTACCCATGCAAAGGCTTTCCAGTTTCGTAACAAGAAAAATATTATTGATTTTGGTAGGCCCGGATATTGTCTAGATCTATGTGTACTCGTGCTCTTGGTATCTAAAACTGAAAGAAACATTGTTTACCTGCAAAGTATGCCAATTCGTCTCGTCGTTTCCTATGAAAACTCTCGTTCGGAGAACAGTCTCAAACACGAATCACACAGAACCCCCCCTCCCCTCCAGGGCAGTGCTACTGACTAAAATTGTCTTTACGCCATTCCCAAAAGGAGGATATTAACATGTTCTTGTGCACAGTGGAATTGTAAATGAGTAAATGGGCTGATTTATCAACGTTATTCTCATACTAGTCATACTGTGCCGGAACAAAACAGAGGAACTTGTTTTTTCTTTCCTCATCCTTAGGGCCTTCTGTCGTCATTTTCCCCTCTACTTCTACTTCTTTTGTATTTGTATGTTTGTCACTATCTTGTGAACTGCTATTTCCAGGGTGCCTTGATAGTCGAAGCAGACTATATGCTGTTGAGGCAAGAGAGGTGAGCAGAGTAAGCGTGATTCCCCGTTTGGACTTCTCAGTTGACATCCACCCCTCGGCGCTCATATGACCGTATGCGGTTGCGAGCGCCGTAAAAACCTTACTAAAACTAAAAATTAAACTCAGAAGAAGGGAAAGGTCACTTCACACCAGTCGTGTAACAAAACACAGCCAGGTTGGCCTGTTGTGGAGTACGCAAGATACTCTAGATGAATATGAGTGAGCTTTTACAGCAATCGGAGAATTACGTTGTGGATATAATGAACAGAGTCTGAATTTGATATGTTGTTGTTATCTCTTCCTTTGTCATGTGACACGAGATCCTGTGATTCGTTTTCAAACTGGTAGATTACAAAAGGTACTATATATAGGTGAGAACGAGGAGAACTGGGCAGGTTAACTGGGACGAGGCCCGAAACATAATTATTTTTGTGGACAAAAATTACCCTACCGTAATGAATAGCCTATTAATACTACTCATCACTAGACATTTTGATTGCTGTTACATCCCTTTCACTTTCTATCAAATTTCCGTTTTCAAGTCCCAATTCAAGACCACCCAGTTTTGCAAACCTTTTTTCAAGACCAGTTTCTGTCTCACTGCATTGAATGTGTTGAAATTCAGCTGAAGGTGATTATGCATTAATATATATAGTAATATAATATATCAGCTTTATATAAGATAATCATAAGCTGAGTAGGCCTACTATCTCATAAAGAAAAGAAAATGCAGAACCAAACTTGGTGTGTACCCATGGCCAGAAGAAAATTTAGGAAATAGTGTTCCGCTTTACCCCACTCTGGTGTTCTAGTTTTCCTGCAGCAAAGAGATCAACTTATCCAGTGCAAAATTATCGCATCGGAGTGGAAACACGGTGCAATAAAAGTACACTTTGGTTCTCATGTTGGAATGCAGCCCTTAATATTATAGCCTGCTATACTATAACTATAAGTTACCGTAGTTAACTAAAATTCTAGATTTCTAATACCACTTTCCGGAGTTTTTATTGTTGCTGCTTGTTTTTCCCCCCTTTTTTCAGAAAAGTTTCGAATCTACAGACGAAAGCCCGACGTGGGATTTACCCTACATCTCATGTACTGCGTGAAATTATGAAAAAGTTAGTGGAGGCTATTCAGAATGGTAAAACTGTCCAGGAAGCATCCTTTGGTGGTGGGGGGGGGGGGGGGCTCTCGTGGCCTTGGGGTTGAGGTGTTTGCTTCTCATTCAAGAGGTCCCAGGTTCGAATCCGGATACTGACGGAAAATGTTTTCCTTTCACATCCTTTCCTGCTCTCTCACAATATACTGTCGTCTGCTTTCGTCTCCACTTTCTGCCCCCATCCCCTCACCTCCTTTGGCCCCTCCTCGTGCTCCTGACTCTTTCTGCAGCCTTCCTACTGCTTCTCCTTGGCTCCTTCTTACAGCTGTCTTTCAGCAACACTCCTGATCTTCTGGAAGGAAATACATGTATCATACACATAGCCTTCTCGGACTAGGGCGAAAAATTTCGAATACCCCGTGTGCAAGTTGTGCACGTTAACGATCCCTTGGTGGTCCAAAATCGATAGGCTTCGGCCACCACCTGGGCAAATTCAAAATTTCCTACCTACCGGTACTGAAAATGTTTGGTGTGCCCTGCGCGCTCATAATAAAATATCATATGACCTTGCAGTTGTGGTAAAAAGTAAGAAAGACAGACAGAAATAGCAGGGGATCAACGGTGTAGTATCACGTGGACATACGTAAGAACCTGTAACTGTTAGTACTATTAAAGGCTGGTGGGGCACCTAGAAATCTTGTTTTGGGGCCAAATTATGCGAAATGGGATTGTTACATATTATAGTACCAGGACATTTCCTGAACAATATCCAGAAACGTATGTTAGCTTTGCTATACCCTAAAGCTGTCTTTTTTGTCCAAGTGCTTCTGCGACAGCACATGTTTTCCAGTCGGCTCATACCTTTATATCGGCTGTTTTCTCACAATTCTATTTTTACATACATTATCCCATTTTTCTGCCATGTTTCTTGTTCAATTTCAATGTAACTTTCACAGAATGCCAACAACACCTAGTTCTAAATTTTAGCTTGTTGATTTTTTTAATTAATGGAGTAGTTTTTTTATTTATGGGCTTAGAAAGGATGAATTTTCCATTTTTTCACTTTTTTGTAACAACACAAGTGTAAGTGTCATGATAAAATAAAAACTAAAGCATATATAAAAAAATCCAACAAGCCAAATTTAAGAGCTATATATTTACTGTTGGCATGCCAAATTAGATGTGAATCAGTAAATATAATATAAGGGAATATAAATGGGAATGAAAAAGGTATGCAAAATCCAATATGGCCGCCGTTTCCATAGCAACCAATTCAAAATATACTTTTTGAGCTATAGATATCAAATCCCTAATAGCTCACGATGTCCCTCAGCAAATATGGGCACCCTAGGCCTTGTAATAGTAATAGCCAAAATAGACCTCAGGTGCCCCACCATCAACATGGTCTTGTATTTGTAGTTGGTAGTGATTTGGCGCTTCGCTGTCGCACACAGGAGACCCGAGTTTGATTCCCGAGGAGTGAATTTTTATGGAGTACCATCACGGTTTTCTACCGGGACATTTGTACTCTCACAGCCCAGCTTGGCCATAACGGTCTTATGAGCGTAAGAAGATTAGAGGTGTTACAAGAGAGTAACAAACATGAAAAAGAAGGAGGGGAGATAAGTACGATCGATAATAGATGTTTGATAGAAAAGAAGAAGCAAACCACACCAGAGCACCCGCCAACCACCCACTCTCTCTTTAGTTATTTTTTTAAAGTAAGAGTTTTACGGCACTTGCAACACAATAAGTTGAATAAGGTCATATAAGTGCCGAAGATTAGAGTTAGAGGTGTTACAAGAGAGTAATATACACAAAAAAGGAGGGGGAGATAGAGATGATGGATTTTTTTATAATAGTAATAGGAAAGAAGGAGCAAACCACACCAGAGCACCCGCCAACTACCCACTCTCTCTTTAGTGCTGGGAAAAAGTAAGACAAACACGGACAGTAACAGACAGACAGAAACAAAAGGGTGAGAGAAAAGAAGTAGGACCTAACACAAGTAGCACCCTGACCACCCACTCCCTGAGGAGAAAGAGTATTCAGATGGGAGCGAGATTTTGAGTTTAATTTTATTAAAAGTTTTACGACACTTACAACACAATAAAGTTTTATATACTGGTAAGTGTCGAAGATTAGAGGTGTTACAGGAGAGTAACAAACACAAAAAAGGAGGAGAGAGAATGACAATAGTTTTTGATAGAAAAGAAGAAGCAAACCACACCAGTGCATTTGCAAACCACTCACCGAGATATAGAGGGAGATGTCGTAGGACAAAAATGACACAGCTGGCTTGAGGCAGAGAAGACCACTCACAACAGAGGTGGAGGGCTCTTCTTGGCAGCGCAGATACCCAATACCAGGGTGAAAGAGGCAAATGAATGAGGAATGAGTTAGAGAATGGCAAATTGGTTTTGTCATGAGCGAGTCATGATTTCGAGTTTTCAGTGTTTGTCTTCCTTCTGTGCCCAACTACTCAAATAAAATCATCTACTTATCTTCTGCTTGTTCAAGTTTTGCTCCAGCAACAATTATAATTCTAACTACCAAGAAAAATGAACTTGACTGCAGTTCAATTTTTTTTTTTTTTTTAAGAAAAAGAACAGATCATATCCTGCCAAGATGAAAAAAATACAAAACAAAATCTAACATTTTTTGACAAGACAATGCGGTGAGACTTTTTCTGTTAGTCTATTTTTCAGCTCCGAAAATCAGCAGGCATCTCAGCAGAAAGACAATACAGAGATCCATTTGGGAATCGCTTTGTTGAGTGCAATGGTAAAGAGACTTATTATTCATTGCTTTGCAGACACCAGCGGAGTCTTCGTGAGGATTAAAGCTAAAAGTAGGAAAGTATTTCTTTTTGACAAATAGTAGTAGCAGCTGTCGTCAATGAAATCTTTTCACTAAGAAGGAAATATTGGTTCAACCCTTGGCAGTGGGATCCAAAGCTCTACAGGAGCCTATAGGACCTACAGTGTACAGCAGCCTTTGCCCAATAAAGACAAGAACGTCATTAAGGTATGAATGAGAAGAAGATACAACTGTAAATTAAATCTTAGCTTGAACCTTCCCCAAATCGACCTAAAAACTCAGGGTAGGCCTACACAACATACATGTACAAAAGATTCTTTTATGGAAAGAGAGACTCTATGATGCAACTTCACCGAGCTCTGTTCCAATAGAATAAGAAAAATTTTCAGATCCTATTTTGGTTCAAGCTCAAATGTCTATTAATTAATATTCAGAACGAATAAATTAAAATCTAAGTATTTCTAAGGACTATTATTTATTAATTATGCAAAGCAGTTGGGTCAACACTGAAGAAAAGGAAAAAAAAAGAAAAGACAGTCGACATGCTCAAGTTCTGTTACTATAAAAACCTGATCTGTATTCTTTGCAGCATAGATAATTGTAGGCCTACAGTGCAGTAGAACCTGATCTAAATGTCAATTGACCAAGACAATGACAAAGACAGTGGAATCCTGTTATAACGAGAGGGAGGGGACCGGTGCGAAACATCCGTTATAGCAGGATTCTTGTTGTAAGGGATCCAGTAATAAATTAAAGGGAAATAGTACAGTAGGTCGAATCTATGAGTCTGGTTTTCTGTTCGTTTCTTTTTGTAATCTCCCCTGATGATGATTTGGCTCAACAAGATCTCTAGGTCTTACTTGATCAAAAATCGAATCAGGTTTCTTTCTCTAGCACTAGCGATGTTGACAGCTCGGCGTTGGCGATCAGAAATAAAAGTTCTCTAGGCTAACTCGTCTGCTGTGTTGTTCCCCACCCCACCACTGTGGTGTGTTCCGTCTGCTTGTGCACATCACACATTCACTTCATCCCATCACAGTCACATCGTTGTGACCTCTCCATCCCTGCATCGGAGAAGTGAGAGGCATGCTATTGCTAGGCCTAGATAGTCTAGACTGGGCTGGCCTATCACGCGATGCGTTCTGCTTGTCTGCGCATACCACAACCTCCCCACACATTCGCTCCGCCTTCATTGTTGGCACACGTGGGCTCTCCCATTCTTTGTTTCGCAAGATCACCAACAACTGGCGAGGTTTTGCATGAATAAATGGCCTATGCGCTGTGCACAGCAGCAGCAATATTCCGCTATAACCGACTCACATGTTTGTCTGATTGCGCTATAGCAGTATTTTATTTACAAAGATACAGAAGGAAAAAAACCCCAGGGTTATAGAATAATTTCTTTATAACCGACTTCTCGTTATAAGTGGATTCCACTGTACAAACAACCACTCCCCATCTTGCATTTTAAAGGATATTATAATGACTCTGTTAAGAGATCCAACTGTCTTAGAACCACTTTTCTCCTTGATAATGGTGGTCACCTTGAACATTTTCCACATATAATTTATATTCCTTGAGTATGATATCACAATCAATTGGTGGGGTGGTATCCCAAGCCTGTGGACAGCATGTGTAATTTATTTTTGTTTCCCATCTTTCCTGCCTTGTGAGATGGAGAGATGGTATAATTTCAAGAACACTCCCTAAATTTTTATCAAATCCAGGTAAAATTTCTACACTATCTCCCTGGATCCCCCCCAAATAGACCCATCTCTTCGTGGTGGGGGGGATAGTACTCTTCGAATAGGAAAAGAAAAAGAGGAAGCTAACGGGTCAAGGGGTGACCCCGAAAAGAGACATATTACTTTACTATGTTTCTTACTCTTTTTATTTGTTTTACTTTATTACTATTACTTATGTACTTTTCTTTTCTCCTCTCTCCATCGACAACCTTTCTTTGACCTGGAGTTGGGACGGGTATTGGTGGGGTGGAAAGCAGAGGTTCATTGTCAGCACTGTACTGGATGAGACTTTACGTAGGGAATACCCAGCTACATACATGTATTAAGCATGCATTTCACTTATCGGAGAGCCCTATGACTGCGGAGAAGGTGCAGAGACCATTTGCGCCTTGCTTGTTGACAACATTAACCCTCTGGGATCTTCTAAGGCTTCCTCTGCCCCCATCTCTCAGATGAGAGGACTTGGTTGCTCTGGGAGGAGGGGGGAAAATCTAGCTTCCAATTGGTATTATTATAACTATTAGTATTATTATTATATTATAATTTTTTTATTTCAGCAACACACAGCAACTATGCTCTTAATAGCGTTTTTCTCTTCTTTATCTCCTCAAACAACTTCTCAATATAATATAACAGACACCAACATACCCATTCATTTTTCTTACAATCTCTCTGTGATGGAGTTGGGTTTTTGTTTGTGGCATTGCACCTACAGCCACTGCTTTATCTCCTACCCCGGGATGGTAGGAAAATCACAGAACCACCAGTTTTAGATGCTATTCACAAATCTCCCTGGATCTTTTTTTTTACTTATCGTAATTTTTTTTGGTGTGCACACAACAGATCACAGAAAAAACATTATATCAAAGTACTCAAGCTGGCTTTATTTTCTAAACACTGAAACAATATCAGTGATACCTGATAAACATAGCCATATGAGGTGAAAGTAACATTCATCAGTGTCTAAGACGTAAAAATAACTTCCCTCAAAAAAAAAAAAAAAAAAAAAAAAAATTAAGGGCAAGTTCACACATCAATAATTCATCCATGAAAATGTTCAGGACAGGAACAGTGTTTGGGCTCCTTTGTTCTACTCCTGACTGCAGGCATCTTAGCACAGGTTCTCATCACTTGCATCTGGAGAACAAAAAAGCAAAAACTTTTTCTGTCATCACATTTTGTTCTAGGTTTTAATGTAATCGTTTTTTAATGGCACTTGTAACAGTAACAGATTTGATCATATAAGTGCTGAAGATTAGAGGTGTTACAAGAGAGTAATAAACGCAAGAAATACGATTGAAAGATACAGATGATAGTTATTTGATAAGAAAGAAGGAACTGACCATACCAGAACACCCACTACTACAAGAGAACTTTGAAGGTAAAGCTTCCTACTGGCTGCAACATTTTTTTTAAAAAAGTGATCATGAGTACCCACATAGATACTTTGTTAAAATAACAGCAAGAGCCCATAACAAATAGATTACCAAAACCCCATAATTTAAAGTTTTTGTTTAAAATTAGATGCCTTACTCTAGCCTTCTAAGTCCAAGACCTGAGTTGGCATGGTAAAAATCCTCCGAGTGGGGGGATTAAATTTTGTGATCTACACCCCCCCCCCAAAAAAAAATAATTAAACCCCCTTACGAGGTAATCATAATCATAAGGACTGCTTTAAAAAAAATTAATAAATACTTTCATTGCCAGGCCGGCTTTATTATATAATCACTCTAATAAGAAGCCTTAGATAGACTCAGACCAGACAGTGAAGCCATTAACTACAGAAGATAGACCTCACAAAATAAGATAGGCTTAACCTTCAATTAAAGAAAAAAACCAAAACAACAACTACACCCTACACAGCTACAGGACGATCCTTGGCACAAGCACTGCTCAGCACCTCGTACTGTAAAAGAAAACTCTTCCATTCATTCAGTGTCGACCATGTTTCTCATGAAAAGTCAACTACTATGGGTCTGTTCCCACCCCCGAACTTAGAGACAGCAGCTTTCTCAAGTAATTGAAGTATTAAATCAGAGACAGAGACAACTGAGCAGTAAATTTTTTAACTATTGTCTACTGTCCCACAATTAAAAAAACAAACAACCCTGCTTATATGTGTCACGACGCTGTGAAATCAGGCACTCGTCAATTTTTGGGCATGTGGAGTTATTGATATCACCTGAAAGCTGATTTTATTTTCCTTGCTTCCAATGAAATAAATATCTATTTATCTTGAAGAGAGCTCAAGATATTGCATTCGAAAGAAGAGTGGTTGCCTGGTTTCAGAGTTGAAATTAACGAAAAAATGGCCGCTACAGTTTGGTAACTCCAATAGCTAAAGAGTCTTTGAAAACTGAAAAATGACACATTTTGTAGCCTTAACGTTTTTCAGTAAAATTCACATGGAAACGTGTTTTTATTGGAACATAAAAGAGGTTGAGCCAAAAAATAAAAATGTCCAAACTGGCAGAAAAATGCCTGTTGCAACAATTCCTTTATTTTGACGAGCACCGGATTTCACCACGCTGCCTCACATATGTCTATGAAATGTTAACATAACGCCTCTCCTCCCAAGGCCTTAAAGCATCTCTCTGGAAGAGTAATAAGAGGAGAAAGAAGTGAACAAAACAATCAGGATTGTGTCATGTCAAGATATCGACATGTGGATACCTGTAGGCTACGTGTGCAGGAGAAGTATTCATACCGGCAAACATGACTAAGTACAATGGCGATGAGCATCAAGTTAACGAGACAGAACTTTAACTCAGTGAGCACCACGCCCCGATTTGCCTCCAAGCCCCAGAGGACCACCAATTTCCCCCACTTTTTGAAAATTCATAAAAAATTGAAATTTGCTGTGCTATTTAATAAGATATGGGTTCAACAGACACAATAAACACATTGTGTGAAGAATGAATGACAAAAAAATGTATGGGACAGAAAGTTGGGACAAATTTGGCCCCGAAAAAAAAATTTGAAAAAAAAAAAAAGGAAGTGATGTGACAAAGCAGAAATCTAATAAACTTACACAAAATGGTTGTGACAGTGTGTGTTTGTGTGTAGGGGAATAAAGCATGAGTGTGTACAGTGAAGTAGCATAAAAATGTAAGTGATAATTAATTTTGAAAAAGGAAAAAATATAATAGATCTAGATCTTCCACGGTGACAGGCTGAGAAGTGTTTTCATTGTCAGTGCTGCTAGTGCTAGGACTAGATCTAGATGTGTCAATAGATGTCCCAGGTCTGGGTACATTATATATCTTCTCCACCTTGAGAGCTGATTTGAACTAGAGTTTAGTACTGGGGCTAGGTCTAGATCTATATCTATCATCATTCCCAGCTGGACCAGGCTGCGTACTCGCTGACGATTTACGATCGAGAGACGATGTTGGTCTAGATCTAGACCTAGCTAATGTTATTTTCTCAGTCATCTTCATCACTGCTGGGCGAATTCACATTTTGATTTATGAAGTTATCAATTTGATACTTCACTATCACTTAAATCTTCACCAAAATTATTGAGAGTGTCAATAAACTTCGACACAACTCCATGTTCCGTGCTTCGCGTACGAGAAACAACAACGAACTGCGCGCAAGTTCCTTACTTTCAGTTGTTCAGTCCGTTGGACAAATAACTCGTTTATTCGCACTAAAAGTGGTGAATATACACAAACCACAAAGAACTAGCTTGTCGATATCCTGTTTAAACCACTGGGGCTATTTGCAAGCATTTTTAAACTGCTGGGTTTACTTTATAGTCAATTACAGTTGAACCCGCGTACTCTGCGGTCGCGAATTTTACCAGACCGCGTATGCTGCGGGTGCGGTGCTCAGTGAGTTAAGCAAATAATTAGGGCAAGGGATACTTACTCATCCACTAATAATAACCTCACCTCTCACACAGGCTGTCCAAGTCTTTCTTTACTCATCCCTCATAACGTCCTTCCTCTACCATTGTGTTGATAGACTGAAAAACACCAGCCTTCTTCATCCTAGCGTAGTCCTTTTCTACATCATAGGTCCTTGAAAGAAAGAAAACGGTCAAATTTCAATTTTTGATGAATAGAAAGGGTGGAAAGGTGGAAGGGGGGAGAACCTGGACACATAGGTAAGATAGGCAGGGCTGTCTACCCACCGGCATATATTTTAGTAATCAACAGACAGAAAATTAGTAAGCTTCCGTTAAAATTCGTAACACGGCCATGGAAAATCTGTGGTGGGGTGTCAAGGATAAGGGTTGTAGTTCAGTGTAGTATACATGCACGCGGTAACGTAAACAAAGGCGTGATGATACTAAAGGGCACGAATTTTCTAAAACCTTGCCAATCTAATTATTCTAATGTATGCCTTACTCATGGCTTCAGCACTTCTAAAATCTAATGTTTTTCTAAAGGCAAAGTGGCACTGAGCCACCACAAGGGCTCATGCAAAAAGGGTGTTAATACTGTTTATGTCTGGTTTTAGATTTTTTTTCTTCCCTTGTACACCAGGGAAGTAGCCAAAATGTTTAAAAAAAATTGGAATCAGGGGTATTACAATCGTGTCTTCGTAAAATTGACAAAAAAATCGTAATGGATTCGCCAAATTTGTAATGGTGGCCAACCCAGGGTAGGACTTTATGCCATTTCATATACAGAAAATCATGCATTAGCCAAGAGTCAAAAAGAGAGTGACACAGAAAGACATGATTGATTTCCAATATCCCGGCACTACAAGGTCTTCATCCAAGCAAAAATGTACCATTACTTTCAGCTGTAGAAGAGCATTTGAACCACAGGATACTTGTCTACCTTCCAGTAAGCAGACAATATTTGTCTAGTCCAGAACAGCAATTCTCACTTTAACCAAAAAATTTGAGCAAATTAATCCTTAGAATCACAGTAAAAAAGGGAACTAAACAAAAAAGGATTTTAACTCACTGACTCTCAAAAATTTAATTTTGGCAAAAATATTAACCCCTATGGTCCAGTTAAACAAAGGGTTGTTTTTTTTAACATTCATATGATACTGTCCCTCATTTAAATATCAACTTAAAAATTGGCATTCTACAGATACAAAATAAAGGTTTGTTAGAACAGAAACAGAAATGAGTTATCATTATTAGTTTTGGATATGAGCCCCATCTTTACCATATTGTTTTCTGATTTTGCCTTGTTAATAAACGGATAAAAACAAATAAATACATTTTAAAAATGCAGGGCATGAGCTGTGGTATGATCAGATCAAGTCATAAGGATAAACAGTGCTTGGTGTGTGTGTGTGTGTGTGTGTGTGTGTGTGTATGGGGGGGGGGGGGGGGGAAAGAAAGATGCACATGGTGGTTTGTCTGCAGGAGAATGAAAGTGCCACTGTCATTTAATGAAATTACGAAATTTTACTTCAGGGCAATGAGGTGGCAGTTTGGTCTCTTCTTTGGTGCTAAACAACCAGTGGCCTAGATTACCTTTATCACATCGGATCACTTGCCTGTTCACATAGCTAACCAGGAGAGGCAAATTTTGCAAACTTCCATAAGATCCATGGTACGACACTTGAAATGGTAAAAATTATGCATTTTCATAACTTAGACATACCAGGTATGTCGTCATACAGCAACAAAGGGGTTAACATGGATTTCACCGAAACCTCAGATTAGCTCAAACTGAAAGTTTGAGTAGGGAATGTGCTTGATGTGAGATTCACAGTATTTAAAAAAGTACGTACTTGTAGAAATTTTCAAACTTCTGCCTCCTCTGTTCCTGGACTCCAAACTTGTATGACATGGCAACAGCAATGGAGACCGTTAAAGCAATGACAAAGTCTCTCTTTGTCTTGCTGAGGAGCAAGTTTCTGAGAACTGGCTTGCTTGCCATCTGAAAGGGAAAAAAAAGCAACAAAAACCAAAAACCATGAACAACCTTAAAATATTTGTAGCACTGTCGAAACTGTCTAAGACAGCCGTCCACTGTTAAAAAACAAAACTGGCCGTCTTAGTAGAGCATCATTATGAAGTAAAAACTACGCAAGGGAAGAAATAGAAAGAGGCCATTTGTTCAGGTGAATGTCTCATTGAATAGCAAAAAGCGATTGCAACTTGCTCCAGCTACACAACCCACAATAAGCGACAGATGTGGAAAAGTGCTTCCTGTACAGGTTAAGATCTATAGGAAAGCCAAAGAGCTGCTTGTAGTCATCTATTGTAACATACTATTCATCTTAATGATGTGATTCAGATCCCCTTTCCTTAAATTATACCCTCTTAAAGGCCGAAGGGCTAAGCGCACCGAAAGGCAATGAGATAAAAAAATCTTGGAGTGATGATTTCAGCATTAGAAAATATACTCTTAGCTGTTACACCCATATAATACCTTTTTAGACGCTCTTGTTACGAATGATCCGGGGTTTGAAAGGGAGTAATATTATATAAGTCGATTTCTTAATGTTTTAATCTCAAATTGCTCTTTTTACCAGTACAATGGTATTCAAAACTATCAAATAAGCTTATTTGTATCAGTTAATATCATTTTATATAAAATCAAGCTCATTTGAAAGATTTTGTATTGAAAATTGTTGTGGAAGTCTTGTTTCCTGGCCGTATTGGAAAAGCACAGGCTGCTTTCATATCTTTGGATAGGATTAGGAAGACCAGAGATATCTCACTTCAAACAAAGCTGAGGATTTTCAATTCAAATGTGAAGTCGGTCCTGTTGTATGGATGTGTGTGAGACATGGAACGTATCACAGACTTGCATAAAGAGGATTCAGGTTTTCTTGAACAGGTGTCTAAGAAAGTTACTGAGGATCAGATGGACAGACAGGGTCACCAATGTGGAAGCGTTAAGGAAAACAAAACAGATCCCAGTCAGAGAGGAGGTAGGAAGAAGGCGGTGGCGATGGATTGGACATGACTCTCAGGAAGTCAGGCAACTGCATAATAAAGAAAGTTTTGGATTGGAACCCACGAGGTAAGAGATCAAGGGGAAGACCGCGTGGAACCTGGAGAAGAATCAGAGAAATTGATGTACAGAAAAGCGGGAAGACATGGAATAACATCAAGAGGCTAGCCCAGGATAGAGAAAGGTGGAAGGTGTTTGTCCGTGGCCTATAACCTGGTGCAGGGTGAGAAAGGCAATGATGATGATATTTCCTGGCTATACTTACGAGTACCTACATAGGTCAATTTGTTCTAATTTCGTTGGACAAACATGTATAGTATAAGGTTTTACGGCGCTCGCAACTGCTCAGGTCATATGAGCGCGGACAAACATAAAAAACTTTGTGTGTTTTGAATGAGACATGTCTCGGTTACGAACCAACGCAGGCAGTTCTAGAAGTAGGCTATAAATGCAAACAAACTCAAGCAGACTGATGCACACACACTTGAGCTGCGGGAATACGGAACCCGGTCATTGTGCGGATAATGCTCAGTGCGCGTGCTCTGAGCCAGGGCCGGATTGACACAGGACTGGAACCAAAGTGAGGTGCCGAAATTTAGCTTATCGGGGAGCATAAACCCGGCTCCCACAGGACCATGGTTAGTAAAGCCTACCCAAATCGGGAGGCTATGCTAAGCACACACGCCGCTTTGCAAAACAGTCAACATCAGTCGATTTGACCAGGAATGGGCAAAGCTTTAACATTCGGCTAATTAAGTTAACAGCACTACGGCGGGATGGATTATGCTGCCTACAATTTCACCAAAACTCTGCTGTCTCTTCGTCTTTACGGTCTAGGCTACTAGATTCTATATCTAGATCTAGAGTAATCGTACAGGGTCGGGTAGCAGCTTTTTTTTTTTAGTTTTCAGACACAGGAGCACAAAAACATTGTTTAAAATTTTGTTTTTAAATCTAACCCCAAAAGAAAGGGCAGACAAACCTAAAGCAACCTCCCTTACTTTCGTTGACACTACAGCGACGGCGGCATTTTGCTAAAAATAGTCCTTAAAACAGCTTTTTCTTCGTCAACTGAGCAAAACAGCCTGAAGCTCTTCCCCCCGGAAGATTAACATTGGTTGTGGATGAAGGAGCCTGTGGCCTAGATTCTACGTTTTGTTAAACTCTGAAAGCTGGAGAGTTATAAAAAATAAAAAATATGAGGCCCTTCAAGGATGAAGGAGAATTTGCAGTTCAGTCACGCCGTTTTTGCCCAAAAGGGGGGTGCCCGGATTGTAATATAAAATGCGTAGTTTCTAATCCTTCGGGCACGTAAAATATTATAACACCAATTGTTATATGATAAAGAATCAAGAATTTGTGCATAATTTAAATAATAGTAGAGTCAGATACAACATATATGATATAGCTGACTCAGACAACAGTGTAGTAGAGTCAGACACCAGTGTGTAATAGTCAGATACCAGTGTAGTAGAGTGGGTCAGATATACATACTCATTAAAGTAGCTATACATGGTGAAAACTACTTAAGACACACTATCATTGTGTCCAAATGTTGATAACAAGCATTAAAAATCATGTAATTAAGTTTGCAAAGAAACAAATGTGATGATAATTGAAAATGAATGAATGCCAAAATACTGCCCGAAGCCATGAGAAAAAAAAATAAACGTGACTGAACACGTAAATAAATCTGGCGTCACTTTCGCACCCAGTCAGGGTCTCATATGCGAACAAGCTCAACATACGTATACCTGTTTTCGTCCTAATTTTGACCGAACCGGTAATTTTACTCTAATCTAGATTAGATCTAGAATCTAGATCTAGAGTAACATTACCGGTTCGGGCAGCAGGTTTCGTTTCTCATTTGGCGGCACTGAAGCGGGAAAAACCCCAGTTAAAAATGTTGTTTTTGAATTCTACCCCAAAAGCGCGGCACAAAAACCGGAAGCAACCTCCCTTACTTCAGTTGACACAACAGTGGAGACGGTGTTTTGCTCAAAAGATCCATTAAGACAGCGTTTTCGTCCATCAGGTGAGTAAAACAGCATTACGATCTTCCCCCGGAAGAGTACACTTAGGTTGTGGATGAAGGAAGCGGAAAAGCTTTATTATAATATTTTGTTAAGCTCTGAAAACTGGAGAGTTTTATATCATATATAAGGCCCTGTCGAGGATGAAAGAGAATGTACAGTTCAGTCTAGCCATTCTTTCCCTGGGGGGGGGGGGTGTGTGCCGGGATTGAAAAAAAAAGCGTAGATTCTCATCTTTCGGGCACACAACATGTTACAATGCCAATGGATAAAAGATAAAATATGATTTTGTGCGTAATTCAAATAACCCAGAATTAGAGCTTATATGCCAGTAATCCTGAAAAAGCCAAATTTAAATACAAATAGATCTAGATCTAGATCCTAGATCTAGAGATAATTAGTGATGGAAGATTTCAAAAGTGACACTAATGATGATGATCTAGCAGTGATAAAAAATTTCAAGATAATGAATCACTAAGAAAAGTCCCTCATGTGTTCATTACAGAAACAAAGATTTGAACGAAATCATGGGACGACCAAGAAAGACTGGAGAAAAGGAGACGAAAACTCCCGAAAGAGACAAAAGTTACACGACCCAAAAGTGATTATCCAGGCAATTGAAAGTGTAGTAAAAATAGGTCAAATGACTCAAAGACATGCTGCTAAAACATTTAATATTCCATTTTCCACTCTTAACGACAAAATAGTGGGCAAGACACCTCTGGCACCTAAAAAGGCGTGCCTTCTTTTTCCTGAAGAAGAGGACAAACTAGTAAAGTTTATATTGGACCGGGCTAAATGTGGATTCGGGCTGATGACCGATGATATCCGCAGAACTGCCCAAGCCATCATCGATTTGCTGCAGCCACCAGAGAAAGACAACAGGAACGTAAACATGCCATTTGTGGCCTGGGTGTACCGGCTGTTTGAGAGACACCCTGAGGTCGACCATGGGCCTTGGGAAGCAACAGGCGACAGTGACACCCCAGGCCATATCGAAATGGTTCAAGGAGCTGAGGGAACATATCGTGGCCATGGACCCTACTATTCTGGAGAATGGAAGCCGCATTTACAACGCTGATGAGAGCGGCTTTGCCTTTGACGTCAAAGGCAGGAAGGTGGCAGCATTCAAGGGAAGCAAGCATGTGTATAATCTGACGTCGAACACGAAGACTCAGGTACAGTAAAAATTGTTAAATAAGAAAGAAAACTAAAAAAACCCAAAAACACTCAGCAACCAAACACCCCACTTACACGACATAGACTAGATTAGTAAATTTATGGCGCTCGCAACTGCATAAGGTCATGAGCGCGTGTGGCACGCTGTTTCACATCACGCCAGAGTAAAGAATAATAGAACGTAACAACATTCATAAAAATCTCTGTTGTATAGGAGCTATAAGAAAATAAATGTACGTAAAACAAGTTTATACTACAAATCTTCAGATTTTTCTAAACAGGCCAATGGTCTTCATAATGTCTGAAATATAAATTATAATAGCATTAAACGGTTAGTGTACTATTTAACTTCTTGCTTTTTTTAGGTCTGCAAATTACCCGGCAGCTTGTTAAATTGTATTCTACAGTACTTTGTATGTGTCGTATAAGCTGTCAGAGTTCTCATCCAAATCTTGATATTAAGTTTGGTCAAATAATTTTACTCTTCCTGTACATGATCTATCTTTGAAATAATCGTGTATGTATTAATACCACCTACCGCCCTCCATCCCACCCTTTTTTCCCCCACCTCCAAATCTAGGTGACAGTTCTGGTATGCATGAGTGCCACCGGCCACTACCTTCCTCCTGTGATGGTCTACCCATAAAAGCGACTGCCACAGAAAGACTTAGCCAGTGGTTTTCCCAGAGCTGTCATACAGGCCTCCGATAAAGGCTGGATGGCGGCAGCCATATTCTTTACTTGGCTGCAAAATTCCTTTATACCCAACACGAAGCATGTGAAGAAGCCCTTACTACTTCTGGTTGATGGGCACACGTCTCACACCTCCTTAATTGAGACATCAACTCTTTGCCAGGAGAACGGCATAATCCTGTTCTGCTTTGTGGCCCATGCCAGCCATTTGATACAGCCCCTCGACCAAGCCTTTTTTGGCTCTATAAAACCTGCATGGGCTCAAGCTACTCGTCACCACATTGTCAACTGCGGCAATGCTGTGAACCTGGATAACTTCGCCAGTGTTCTGAAACCTGTCTGGGACAAATCAGCAACACCTGGAATTGCCGCCCAAAGCTTCAGGGCTGCAGGCATTGTCCCCTTTGATCCAGACAAGGTCCTAAACTCTGGAAAGCTGGCACCATGTGCTGTCTTCTGCACAACACAAGCACCTTCCCTGCCAGAGGAACCAGCCCCCCCCCCTCCCCCCAAGCTTTCCTTCTGCCACTTCCTTACCTGAAGAAGTAGCAACTCCAGCCTCTTTTGCAAGTTCCATGGCCAGGGAATCACTGCCTCTGCCCAACCCATCTGGTTCTTCCGATCCCAGTTCCATGCTGACTGTGCATCAGTTGGAAACAATCAAAGACTTTGGGATCTTTCTATATGACGATCTTCTTCGGAAGAATTTCCTTAGACTCTTCTCTGTCCTGGCAGGCACAGAAACGGCCCCTTCAGACAATTCTTTCAACATCTTCCAAGAGCACGTTGTGAAGATTGCGAAAGCCTTCACTCCAGCAACCACAGCTCTACCACCACAGCAGACTCCGGTGAAAGCACAACTGACTATCGATGATATTTTGCAAATACCTAAATTCAATAGCACGAAGAAAAAGGGAAAGAAACTGACTCCAAAGACCTCACACTGTATCACTAGCGAGGACTTTAGAGGAGCTATGAAAAGAAAACTCGAGAGTAAACAAAAAGCGGAGAAAGATAAACTGGCCAAAAAAAAAACCCATCAGGGAAGAGAATAAGAGAAAAAAGAGGAGAAAGAAATGATGAAAAGAAAGAGAGAATGGGAAAAGTTGGCAAGAGAAAGAAGGCTGAAGAGGAGGGAAAAAAAGCTACAAACGAGAGAACTGATGAAGCAAAAGAAAGAGATGGCGAAAGCATGTCAGCCAGAAAAGAAAGTAGCAGCAGTGGTGAAGACAAAGAGACGGAAACGCAGATGTTTGTTGAGATGAAGAGAGCGGATGATGAAGATCCGATGAGTGGACGGAGGTTAGATCTGATCTTTGCAAGGGCTGTCACCAGATGGGGGGTGCAGAACTATGGTTGCAGTGTGAACTTGGTGATGGCTGGTGGCACAAGCGATGTACCAATGCTGCTTCACTCAGTTCTCAAGAAATAGAGAAGCTCCAATTTTGGTGCTGCGAATGTATTCCAGACCAGTAGCTTAAGAAGAGTAATGGGAGTTGATCTAGATTTTCTAGATCTAGATCTATGGTTCCATTTACTTGATTGCTTTTGGTTTAGTTTGTGGACTTAATGCAGAGAGTTTGGTGTTGTTGCTGTTTTTCATTTTTTAAACTTTTTCAAACAATGACATGCTCATTAAAATTAAAAAATAGCTAAAATCTATCCAGATCTAAGTGGTAAAAACCATATTCACACACTAGATCTATAGTGCCTGAGTGTTGAAAGCATTAAAAATCATGTTATTACAAGGTTGCAAATATAATGTGATAACAACTGAAAATGCTGTGGTGTTTGTGGGCCCATTGGGCTAAAAAATTGTGATCGAACACGTAAATAAATGTGGCATCTCTTTTGCACCCAGTCAGGGCCTCAGAATCCCAACAAGCGAAAACGGTGACATTCCAGGGGTCATCCAGTCACAGGGCTTCCTGTTGCCAGTTTCAGTTTTACTCTCGGGCAAGGCATACGGGAGATAGAGAGGCTTGTTTAAAGACGAATATACCCATTTCTGTCAAAGGTAAATTTTTACTTTCAGTCCCGCACACAAATGCACTGTTTCAGGGGTCAAACTGCAGCACTGTTTGCTGCAGATCACACACAAAGCCACTAAAACTGTCGCAAATCAATTATTTTCAAGATAATTTCAAATCTAACGGTAAAATATCCAATTATGGCAGATTTTCTTTTATCCCAGTGGGGCAGGCCCCCCTGGAACCCCCCGATTGGTCCAAAGCATGTCTATTTCGGTTACAAACAATCAAATATTTCAAGGGTTCCATATTTCAAAAAACTATTAATTTGCGACGGAAATGAAGTTGATATTCGTGTTCAGCGCATCAATATTTAGAATTTAGTGTAGAAAATAGACAACTGGTAGCTGAGTGTGAGACGGGACGGAAAGTAACTTTACTTTTACTTTTCCGGTCCAGCGGTCATTTGGGTTCTAGCCCTTCGGTCTATCGATATGGCAAAGAATTGACAGGTTTTAATCAG